GGCTTGCCGAAGGCGACGGCCTCGTTGAAGCTGTTGCCTCCGCCGTGATGCATGGCGATCTTGACGCTTGGATGGGCGAGCACCGTCTCGACGGATGGTACCCAGGTCTCTCGTCTGATCCATTCGGGCAGCTCATCGGCGCCAGGAATAGGTTGGAAGGTTGTTGGCAAATCGGGAATCTTGATGAGCGCTCGCATGTTGGGTCTGAGCGCCTTGACACCCTTCAATGCATCGATCAGAGCGTCGTACTCGTCCCTAGGGTAGTAGAAAATTGAGCCCATGTTCACGTAGATGACCTCTTCAGATTCGTCCAGCCACTCTTTGACAGCGTCGGGCTGGAGAGACGAGTGCTGCGCGATGGCCTTGGGACCGTGACCAGGAGCAAAGCAAGGGCCGACGAAAAAGACCTTTTCGTGGAAGACCTTGGGATCGTATAAGTCGAGACCAGCGACATTGAATGAGAGGGCAGCACGCATGTGGGGGACAAGGTGGGGGGCGGGCGTCATGTAGGAATCGGCCAAAAAGTCTACGGGAGGCAAGCCGAGTTCATCCTTTCGGAAACGACGCTTCTCCTTGGCGTAGGGATGAGTCATGCACCACCACACGAAGCTGAAGACGAAGGTGAAGTTGCGCCAGACTAGAAAGATTGCTTGTGCCCATGTCCGGGAGCCGTCAGCTTTGCGGTGACCGCTATCTGCGCCGCTCAGTCCAACAGGCTGCTTGAACAGGTTCACAAACGAGGCGGCAGCGCATGCAGCGGCTGGGGATGTTTGAATGTACGGCAAACCTGACAAGCGCACGCCGTCCATAGCAAACGGGGAGAAGTTGTCGACTATGATCTGCAATGGAATGGACACAGGTGTCGATAATCAGCATCTACCATAATCAAAGCGCACGATGGTCCGGCACGCAGAAACGACCTTGTGTCATCGATCACGCTCCCGACGGGTGCCGTACCAGGCTGCAGCGAGCGCGAGCGGTGTGCAACGTGAAAATGACAGCAGCTTATTGTTACGTCGCCAGGAAGGGTGCCGCCGATAAGCCCTCGCTGGAGCGCAATGAGCGACCGGTCTTTCCTATCTTTGACTACCCGGACCCATGTGGTCTGGCTGCACCGTCACGGAGTTTGAAACTGCGCGGCTCCCTGCACAAACCGCGCGCGATGCGCATCGCGCATGGCGCGCGACGACGACATTCCACACTCCGACGCAGCGGAGTGTGCAGCGTGACGGAGTCCGAGTCACCCTTGACCATGAGCCAAGTCGCTCAAGTCCCATTCTGGTCGAACTTTGCCAAGGGCGCCACCACGTAAACGCAAGACCA